CCAGCGGCCGTACCTCACCAGATGGCCCCCACTGGGTGCCTCCCTTTGCCTCCCCGGCACAAAACCCACCCCGACAGCCGCCCACAGCCACCTCTCCTCCTCCGCCCCTCCCCCACCCCCACCCTCAGCACCATGGCCCGCACCAAGCAGACCGCCCGCAAGTCCACCGGTGGCAAGGCGCCCCGGAAGCAGCTGGCCACCAAGGCCGCCCGCAAGTCGGCCCCCGCCACCGGCGGTGTGAAGAAGCCCCATCGCTACAGGCCCGGCACCGTGGCCCTGCGCGAGATCCGCAAGTACCAGAAGTCCACGGAGCTGCTGATCCGCAAGCTGCCCTTCCAGCGCCTGGTCCGTGAGATTGCCCAGGACTTCAAGACCGACCTGCGCTTCCAGTCCAGCGCCGTGCTGGCGCTGCAGGAGGCCGCCGAGGCCTACCTGGTGGGCCTGTTCGAGGACACCAACCTGTGCGCCATCCACGCCAAGCGCGTCACCATCATGCCCAAGGACATCCAGCTGGCCCGCCGCATCCGTGGCGAGCGCGCTTAAGCGCACGGCGCTCTCTCTCCAGCTGACGGCTCATCCCTTCACCACCAAAAAAACAAACTGGTGTTATTCAACACCACCCTTTGACACTGGGAAACAAGCTGCTGTGTTTAATGTGGTGGGGGCGGGCGTGCAAGGGGGACGGCACAAAGACAGGCGGGAAGGGGGGGCGAGGGCAAAGCTGGCAAGAGGGGCAAAGCACGAGGTGCAGCTGCAGGAGGCAGCCAGAAGGGCCCGCACCCACTCTACCCTCCGTGCTCCACACCCACAGTGGCCAGCCTTCGACAGCCAGGGCGATGCCCTCCTGCTGCACCTGTGCCCTCCCCAGCCCCTTGCCAGCTGCCGTGCCCGGACAGCAAAGTACCAGCAGCCTGGCCACAAGCGCCTAGAAGTGCGGCAACGAAGTGCACCCAAACCAAGGCTGGTTGCCACCGCCGCGGCCGCATTGCCGCCGCTCTTCCCCTTCCTCAACCGGCACAAACCTCCTAACCACAGAAGAGCTCGACAGAGGAGCAGCGGCAGCAGCCAGCCAGCGGCAGCAGCAGCAGCCAACACGCATTCGCGCCGCACACAATCACCCCAGCCGCACCGGTCAGGGCTGAACCGGTGTGGCAGTCCGGCACCAAAACCGTTTTCTGCCTGCCCGACGGCAAGGCTTTGTGTGGCAGCAGAGCTGCCTGCGTGCCCTTCCCCTTCGCGGCGGCGGCGGGGAGGGCGCCTGCTCCACTCCCCCTTCCCCACTGCGCACCTCGGCCCTCACCCCGGTGCTGGCGCTGGTGGCAGGGAACCCAAGCGGCGGGGCTGCTGGGGTAAGCAGCCACGGGGCTTCCACAGCTTCGGTCACCTCACAACGCAGCGGTGCTGGCTCAGCCTGGGGGCAGGCAACCCGTCAACCCCACACACGTCGCGTAGACTGCCTGCTGCGCAGGGCAAGATGAAGTGGGGCGCTGCCAGCTCTTTTTCATTTCCACCGAGCCAGCTTGCAAGCAAGACTCTGCTTGAACACCCGTGTTGAAGAGCAGCGCCTTGGAAACAAGCAGAACAGAAAAGGGCTTCACACGCAGCAGCAAGGCAGGGAAGGGTCGCCTCCCGGGCTGGCTCCAAGCGCCACGCAGGCGGCCAGGCGGCGCAATCGTGTTGGCAGGCGGGCGCCGCAAAGCCGTGGGCCGGGGCTCAGGGCTGGGCAGCTGCTGCAGCGGTGTGCAGGCGCCGGCACTCTGTCTTGTGTGCTTTCCAGTGCGCATGGGAGCAGGCCTCGCTGCAGTACCTCACAGCCCTGCACCTGCAGGCAGCATGCAGCGGGGCAGTGCACATAAGCATCAACTCCAGGCAGGCAAGCAGCCAGCCTGCGGGACAGCATAGGTCCCCAGGCTTGACAGCCTCTCTGCCGCAGCAACCCAGGGCACAGCTTACCCGCTGCAGCGACGCAGGCCGCTCGTGTTGCCGCAGCCCTCTGCTGCGCACACCCTGACGCCTGCCGCTGCTGGGGAGGGGGCAGCGGGTGCTGCTGTCGCAGGTGCGGCCACTGGTGCCGCTTCTGCTTTGGTTGGTGTCCCTGCCGTGGAAGCTGCTCCTGTAGCAGGTGCGGCAGGTGCTGCTGGTGCTGGTGAGCTCTCCTTTGCTGCGCTGCTGCCTCTGGCCGCCTCCACCGCGGGTTCTTCTAGATGTCTCTCCGCTGGCACGGGTGCGGCACTGGCGCTTGCTGCTGCCACTGCTGGCCTGGGCCTGCCTGCAACTGCTTCTGCTGCCTCTTCTGCCTGCCGCGAAGCCGGCTCTGCCGTGGTTGCCAGGCCTGCCGCTGCCTCACCCCCTTCTCCTGCCGGCACAGCACCCCGCTGGCGCTGCCGCTCCTTCTGTCGCTGCCGCTTGGCGGCCTTGGCCGCCTGCCTGGCCGCCTGCTGCTTCTCCTCGCGCTCCTCCTCTGCCAGCAGCTGGGCAGCGGCAGCCTCAGCTGCGGCGGCTGCTTCGCCAGCAGCTGAGGAGGCTGGGCCAGACCCCGGGGCTTCAGCCTGCTCCTGGCCTGGGCCCCTGCTGCGCCAAAAGTCAAAGACGACGGTGCCGCACTGCTTGACCCCGCCACTCAGGTCGAAGGCCATGAAGTGCGTCAGCTGGCACAGCTCCGTCAGTGCAAACTGGGTGCACAGCAGGCCCACGCCCTGCCGGCGGTCGTCGATGATGACGCCCGGCTGCCCTGCGCGCGGCACCCGCCAGCCGGTGCCGGCAAGCAGCTGCTTGGGCTGGCCGGTGGCGGGGTCCACCTCCACGGCAAAGTTGACCAGCACACGGCCAAGCTTCTTGTCGACGATGGTGGCGCCGGCCTCGTCCATCATCAGCGGGTCGTAGCGATCCGCCGGCATGGGCCCGGCCGTCACGTCGATGATCTTCACCTCGCCGCGGCTGCTGTCGGCCCCTAGCCGCGCCTCCAGCACCTGCAGGGATCCGGGGCGGGAGGGACGAGGGCGAGAGTGGTGGATGGGGCGTTGGGGTGGCCCGGCCGCGGCCAGCATCGCGGCGTGTGCGGCGCCGGCTGACCCCCAACCGCCGCAGCAGGTGACGTGGGCCGCTGCCCCGCCGCACGCACCGTCCTTGTGACCTCCACCGTCTTGGCAACCTCCTCCAAGAAGAGCGCCGCCCGCGGGTGGCCAGCGGCCCGCAGCTTCGCCGCGGTTGCTTCCACATGGGTCAGCGGCACGTCAAAGCACCGGTCATCCAGCAGCATGCCGCCGACGGCATTCAGGCCACGGATCAGGTTGGTCCAATCGTTGGGCCGCCCCTGCAGGAAAGGGGGAAGCCCGGGGGGGGAGGAGTGGGAGGGCAGGTTGGGACCGGCGGGCCCTCCCACGCGGTGGAGGAAGCACAACCAACATGGCTGCACGGTGACGTGCCAGCCAAGGCCCGCTGTGCACGGCATCTGCCCGCCAAGGCCGGCGGCTCAGGCTTGCCTGGAGGGGGCTGCAGATGCCCAGGATCTCGTGTATATGGCCTGCAAGCGATGGCGGGTGGCCGCCGCCCGGCAGCTGCAGCTGCGACATGAGCTGCAGGGCGCGGGGCAGGTAGACGGCTTGCGGGTACATGCCGCCCTCGGGATGGAAGCCCCTCCCCGGCTGGCACTCGGGCAGGGTGCCGAGGTGCTGCTGCAGCTGCCACTCCTGCACAACAGGCGCTGGGGAATAGGGTCGCTGATGGGCGGGTTGATAAGTGCACGGCAGCGGGTCCAGGAGCAATGCTGGCAGTGGCAGCGGCGGCGGCGAGGCGGGGACCTGGCCGCCGCGCCACACACCTCGCGGGAGCGCGGCGCCGTGTTCAATTTGCGGTTCAGCTCGTCTGGGTTCTGTAAAGCGCGCTGCAACGTCCTCGTCGGTGGGGCGATGAGTGTGCCTGCGGCTCTGGCCACACTCACGGCCACCGGGAACAGAGCGCTGGAGCAGATAAGGAATCGCAGGGGACAGGGCGCAAAGAATTGCGAATGGAGGAATGCAAAGTGACGGAGGAAGCCGAGTGGGCCGGCCATAGCCTCGTCACCCAGGTCCTCCTCTGCTTGCCGCGGCTCCTTGCTGGCCTTTGATCGCGGTGAATTGCCATCCGCCCCTCTCCTCAGATCCCTCTGGGCACCATGGCCGAGCAGCCCTGGCGCCGCGGGCTGAAACTCGCTCCAGGGGCGCTGCCTGGCCTGCCTCCAGGCTTCAATCCCTTTCAGACCGGGGAGGCCCTCAGAGCGGAGTACATCAGGATGGGGCTGCTGCCTGCGCGCAAGGTCCGCCTGCCGCTGCCGCTGCTGCCGTGGGGCTCAGGCTGCTGTTTGGCTGCTATACAGCAATCCCCTGGGACTGCTTGCCCCCTTCCCCTTGCAGGACCTGGTGTTGCCCCCAGAGGTGAGGGGCCTGCTATGGGATAGCATGGTTGGCTGGTCCTTGCTGGGCACATCCAGGCAGCCGCATGCGGCGTGTGGTGCCCCCAACTTGCTGCCGTGCAGCTGCGGGCGCGTGTCACGCCGGTGGCCTCCAAGCTTGCACAGGTTTGTTGCCAGCTGCTGTTTGTTGCCATGGCCAGCTGCTGACATACGACTAGAAACCTTCCTTGGCTGCTGCTGCTGGCCTGCCCGCGTGCTGTGTGCGTGTCCGCTGGACTCCAACCCGGCGCTGCTTCCCTTCATGCTGTTGCCGGCTGCAGGGCGACGAGGATGTGGACCCCAGCTCGGCGGCGGCGGCGGCGGCAGGCGCGGCGCCGCCCACCGCGGAGCAGCTTGCGGCGGCAGAGGCGGCGGTGGCGGAGCAGGGGGCGCTGGTCAGGTGCGAGGCGGCGCCTGCCTGCCTGCCTGCCTATGCCTGCTCGCCTGCCTGCTTGCCTGGCCAGCCGAGCGCCCAGGGGGCCGGAGCAGGATTGACCAGCCTGTTTGGGCAGAGCGCGCTGGCCGCCGAGCACGCTGGGTGCCCCACCCCACCCATCCCTCCTCCTCGCACCTCCCTCGCCCGTGTGCCCCGCCCTGGTGCAGGAGCCTGAAAGAGGAGCAGGGCTTGGGCAACAACAGCGCGGAGGTGGCGGCGGCGGTGGCGGCGCTGCTGGACCTCAAGGCGCAGCTGGCGGCGCTGCAGGCGGCGGCGGCGGCGGCGGGCGAGGCGGCCGCGGCGGCAGAGCAGGCGGGCAGCGAGTAGAGGCGGCCGGCTGGCCGTTGGCGGCCGCAATGTGTTTTGCATGGGAGACGCTGCTGTTCTGTTTCTTCCATCTCCCAAAGGGTAACCAACCGAATCGCTGCGAGCCTTGAGTAGTTCATCATGACACCTCTGTACTCCATGCAGAGGTGGCAGGCAGTGTGTTGTGCCCTATCTTCTCCCCCGTTGTCCTCCTCTGCTCTCTCCATACCTGGCTGCAATCCCTCTCTCTCTACCTCCCCGCCCGCCATCCCTCCCCTCTCGTTCATCCATGGTTTGGCTTGGAACTCCAGCATGGGCGCTGTGCTGCAACTGTTGTCGGCAAGCAGCGAGGTCCGGACCCTGCCCTGTTAAAGCCCTGCTAGCTGCAGTCGCCCATGCGTGAACCAGCACCTGGCTCGCTTTGTTCTGAGTTCTCCCTCTCGCCACCCGCCCTGCTGGCACAGTCCTGTCAGACTCCGCCAGCCCAGAGGTGCCGCATGAAGCGGCGCTTCATGAGAAGGACTGGATCTATCTCCAGAGCGGCGATCCGATGACGTTTAACACGTCGGCGCGGGCCCTTGCCGGTGCAGACAGCTCGAGTGAGTGGGGCGGGGCGGCACAGCGCTTCCCCGCCAGGCGGCCTGCATGTTCCTATGGGGCAACGAGGTTGCCTGCTTCTTGCTCCCGCCTCCCGTGCAGAGAGCAAGCGGAAGCAGCCGGCGGCCACCTCCTCGCTGGTGGAGCTGTCCTCCCTGATGGAGGGCCACCCCGACGAACAGCCCGGCTGGCGCCCACGCCCGCCCATGGTGCAGACGCTGAAAGGCAGCGCCAAGTCCGACCGCACCACAGTTCAGCTGCAGGTGGGCTGGGCAGGCTGGGGCAGGCTGGGGCAGGGGCCCCCCAGCCGCCCTGTTTCTCTCCCCTCCTCCGCGGGAGGCATTGCCGCCCACAGGCCTCTCATGCCGCCCGCAGCAGCCGCGCCGCCTGCCACAGCCCCTCCGCCCATCCCCGCCGCGCCGCGCGCCACAGCCCAGCCGCCCATACCTGCCACACAGCCCGCCCCCATTGCCGCCGAGGTGCATGATGCTGAGCAGGGCCCTCCCTCGCAGCCCAGCTCTACCGGCACCTCACCGGCCTCCAACCCGCTCTCCTACCCCACTGAGCTCACCGAGAGCTGTGGCAGCGTGCCGGAGGGCCCTACAACTGCAACAGCACATGCCAGTGGCCTGCCGCCCGCCACTTGCACAGACTTTGCTGCTAGCCAGCATGCCCCCACCCACCACACCACCGCTGCAGCAGCCGCTGTGCCCTCGCCTCCCCCCTCCCCCGATGCGCCCTCCCTCCCTGTGGCCCAGCCCCAGCCCACAGGTCCCAACGGCGAGCTCGAGTACGCTGTAGAGGCGTTTGTGGCGCGTCGTACGGTGGACGGCTGCCTGCAGTACCTGGTAAAGTGCCAAGGGTATGAGCTGCTGGGGGAGGAGCCAGCCTACTCGTGGCAGTGGGCATCTGTGCTGGCGGAATGCATGGATCAGGGGTCGTACCGCCGCATGGTACAGGGGTGGAGGCAGGCGCAGCCGGCAGGGGCAAGCAACAGCACCAGCGCCAGCCGACGCAGCAGCAACACCGGCCGCAGCAGCAGGGGGCGCCAGGGTGCGCAGCAGGGGGCTGCCGGGCCGCAGCCAGCAGCAGCGGATGGCCAGTAGGGGTGCGGGGGCCAGGCAGCCCTGTCATTTGTCTTGCTCAACACCTATGGCGCTTTGGGTCGAGCGCCGGAGGCTTTGCTGCTAGACCTACGGGAGGACGCAGGTACCAACATTGATGCCTACCTATTCACCGAGACCTGGCTTCGTGGCGACCCCCCGCGCCTGCCTGGACTGCAGCGTGCCTTTGGCGCGCCGCGCCCGGACGGCAGGGGCGGGGTGGCAGGATATGTGGCGGACAGCTTGCAGTGTCGGGCAGCGGTATGGCGCAGCAGAGTGGAGGATGGGGTGTTGTGGCTGCGACTGAGCAACGTGCATGGGCTGCTGGGTGACTTGCTGGTGGCGGTGTGCTACCTCCCACCTGGCCTGAGCACTGCCACGGCAACGGCCTGGTTTGACACCCTTGCTGATGAGAGCGCGCAGGCCATGACTGCGGGATTGGTGCTCGTGGGCGGCGACTTCATTGGGCGCACAGCGGAGGAGCCCGATGCTGCTGACGGCAGTACTGCGCCACTCCGGCGGTCAGCATACCCCGAGTTGGCTGGGCATGGCAGGGCGTTGCTGCAGTTTTGCCACACCACGGGCCTGCTCATGTGCAATGGGCGGGTGGCAGGGGATGTGCCGGCGCAGCCCACCAGCAGGGGGCGGCGGGGGGATGCACAGGCTGTGGTGGATTATTTCTTGGCGTGCCCGCGGCTCCTATCCCTAGTGCGCTCGCTCCGTGTAGTGCCGGTCCCACCGGGCGGCGGTGACCACTACCACTTGCGCCTAGACATCTCCCTCACACCGCAGGACGTGGCGCCTCCCCCCCCACCGCCGCCCCCACCTGACGCGCTGCCGCCGGACTACACCATCACCGACGCCCTCCTACCCCAGGTGGAGGCATTCATGCAACTGGAAGCAACTGTTGCTGAAATGCAAATCCTCAGCGACGATCCCTCTGCCTTCTTCGCCCGCTTCCGCACCCCGCGTGCACGCGCTTCGGCGCTCATCCCCAGGGCTGCTTGGCTGCAGCACTTCCGCAGCCTGCTTGGCGAACCGCCGCCTCCGCTGCCTGTGCCGCCGCCGCTGCCTGTTGGGGCTGGCCTGCAAGAGGGCAGCCAGGGGCCAGCAGCCACACCAACTACAGCCAGCCAGCCTGCTGCCGCTATCACTGAGGCTGCCGCTGCGCTCCAAGCCCCCTTCTCCGCTGCAGAGGTCGACGCTGCCATTGACCGCACCCGGAACCGCGCTGCTGTGATAGGCCCGCTGAAGCCGCCTGTGCTGAAGCGGGTCAGAGCCGTGATGGCACCAGTACTGGCGGACCTCTTCAATGCATGCGCTCGTGTGGGTTGCCTGCCTGGGTGCTGGGCCATTAGTGCCATCACCCCGATCCCCAAGGCAAATGCTGCATCCAATGAGTGCGGCGCATACCGCGGCATCGCCGTTGGTACCCTCCCCGCCAAACTGTATGCTGCTGCCCTTGACCGTCGCCTGGCTGGCTGGGCAGAGGAGGCGGGTGTGTGGGCTGAGGGCCAGTTTGGCTTCCGCCGCAAGCGCAGCTGCGCGCAGGCCGCTCTGGTGCTCCGTGCTCCCATCGAGCGGTGCCGCTCCCGCCGCCAACCCCTGTACGCTGCCTTCATCGACTTCCAGAAAGCCTACGACACGGTGCCCCGCCACCTGCTGTGGGCTAAGTTGGAGACGGTGGGGGTGGGCGGCTGGTGCTTGAGGGCTGTGCAGGCGCTGTATGCCGATGTGCCTATGTGTGAGCAGCAGTCCACGCCAGCGCCGGTGTTGCTGTCGGAGACAGGCCAGCAGCCGCTGGCAGCGCGCTGGGCAGCCCAGGTGGGGCGGTTCTGGAACAGTGTGTTGTCGGCTGATGGGGCCAGTCTTGTGCAGCGTGCTGTGCATGACAGCTGTGCATTGGCTGTTGAGGCCGGGGGTGTGGGGTTGGCAGGGCAACCTTGGGCTGGTCAGGTGGCAGCAACGTTGCATGCATATGGGGCTACTGTGGATTTGCGCCAGCCCCAGCCTGTGGGTGTGTCTGACATTGTCGAGGCTGCCGCAACTTCCTTCCGCCAGCAGTTGTACACTGCGCAGGGCACCCGCATCCGTGAGTACGTTGCTGCCACCGGTGCCGACACAACCGACGGACTGCCTGGCTACCTTTTCACCCTCCAGCACCGAGGCCGCTGGCGTGCTTTGGCGCAGCTTCGCACCGGCTCGCATTCGCTGGCGGAGGAGACGGGGCGCTGGCAGCGTCAGCAGCGGGCGGACCGGCTATGCTCTCATTGTGCGGCAGCGGGCGAGCGGCATGTGGAGGATGTGCAGCACGCATTGTTTCGATGCCCACGGGCTGCACAGTTGCGCGCTCAGTACCCCCTGCTTTTCACCCCTGCACATACTGAGTCTGTGTATGCATTTTTCACTCTCCCTGATGCCATCCAACTTTCCAGTTTCTGTCGTGCTCTGTACAGATTGCACCGCTACTAACTCCCAACTTCCTGTTGTGCCTCCCTCTCCCCCTCCCCCCTCCTCCTGTTTTTGTCCGCTTTCTTTTGTTGCTTGCCTGCCTGGCCCCAGTTTCCTACCCCCATGCATTTTGCTTGTAAAGGTTAAGGTTAAGGTGGGGAAGAGCCTCCACAGGCTTAACTTCCCGGTTTCAACGTCTAGCTTTAGACCATTATTTGATCTGCCCGAAACGCCAAGTGCAGTACCCCCCACTAGTAGTGAATGGGTCCCGGGGAGGCCTGTGCCGAAGCCTTGGCGATTCTATTAGGCGTTCCCGAAGGAATTGGCTTGGATTGGCGCTGAGCCGGTCAGCTATGCCGCGTTTGTCCTCACAAAGTTTCGACATGGGAGGAATCGAACCTGTGCCCTCTCGGAGGTTTAGACACTAGCTCCAGCGCCTTCAAAGAAGGCCTTTCTTAGCCGTGGGCAGGTTGAGCTGGCTGGCGTGCCCAGCTTCCCGCACGCAACCAACAGAAGCTCATAGGGGTCGTGATGACATGCGGTGCCCACCTATTGGGCTGCTTGCTTTTGCTTGCTTGTGTGGGCTTAAAGTCTGGTAAAGCAAGAACTAGCTTGCAACATAGACTCCCCGCCGAAACGGGACGGGAACCGGGCGAAAGCAGAGAAAGCAATAAAACAGGGGTGGAGCAAGGCGACATGCAACGCAAGCAGCTTGGAACTGCGCTCCGACAAGCAAGGCCCTCAGATTTTCCTCGCTCTGGACAGCCGGCAGGGTTAGCGGGTTCGGCCCCAGCACATTAATGTGCCCAATCCCTGTAAAACACACACACACACACACCTGCCTGCCTGTCTGTTACACACACACACACACACACACACACACACAAGGCCCTCGGAGCCTTCCGCGGGCTTCCGGCCTTGATACTTGCTTTTTGCAACGAAGAGCTTCGTGCGCACATCAGCGGTCCAAAACGCTGAGTGTCATGGGGTACACGAGTAGCCAGGCTGGCGCAGCCACGGTCGCTTGGCGGCTGGCCAGATCTGCCTCGTAGACAGTGTTACAGCTTCGTCTTGCTGCTTACACCATGTCCGCGTGAGGAGGGCCGGCAAGCGTGTTCTGGACTGATCGGGACTTGGCCGGCGGCAGCGTGTATAAGATTGTGTTGTTGTTGCGGCAGCTCACTCAATAGCGGCCCGAGGGGTGCGAGATGCCAGGGCAGCGCCGTTTTGTCCTTGCCGCCCTGTTGCCGCCGTTGCCGACGTCCCATGGTGCCGCTGCCCAGCCGTGAGGCGTTCAACTTGCCTTATCATTTTGTTGACGCAGATCCATGTCGACCACCATTACCCCAGATGACTGGGCTCAGTTGAGGGCTCTTAATCCGACCCTGGCTGACAAGTTTGAGGCAGCCTTTGGTGATGTTAAATATGTGTTGGAAATGCTCAGACGTTGGAACCGGTTAGAGGAGTATGCCAGATCTTGTCTCACTTGCTCTCGTTGCTTGCTACTTACAGGAGGGCAGTGATTGACTAAGTGGTGCGCCGCCTCTTGACTTTGCATGCTTGCGAAGCCCTTAGCCTTGATCTTGTGAAGGGTGCTTTCACCAACCACGGTCACCGTCGCATCGATGATACTTTGTCGGGCCTTTTCCGTCATTTGGCGGAGCACAACCTGGCGTCTGGCTCTTACAACGCTGGCTATATTGCAGCCGATGGTTGGGCCGAGGATGATGTGCGTGCGGCGGTGAGCACTTGGGCAAAGCAGCATATGACCAACAAAGGCGGAGTTGTGGTCTCGTATGGCTGATATGTGTGTGTCGATATTCTGTTTGGCTTACTTGCGGAGCCTGCGGCGGATTGCAATCAGCCGCGCTAGCTGAGTAGCATTTGAGTTGGCAAAAGGTAAAGGTAAAGGTGGGGAAGAGCCTCCACAGGCTTAACTTCCCGGTTTTAACGTCTAGCTTTAGACCATTATTTGATCTGCCCGACGCGCCAAGTGCAGTACCTTGCTTGCTTGCTTGCTTGCTTGTGTGGGCTTAAAGTCTGGTAAAGCAAGAACTAGCTTGCAACATAGACTCCCCGCCGAAACGGGACGGGAACCGGGCGAAAGCAGAGAAAGCAATAAAACAGGGGTGGAGCCCCCACTAGTAGTGAATGGGTCCCGGGGAGGCCTGTGCCGAAGCCTTGGCGATTCTAATAGGCGTTCCCGAAGGAATTGGCAGTGTATGATCCGGTTGCCTTCACACCTGCCGTGAAACTGTGCATGAAAATGCGAGGCCGGTGAAGTGCATGGTTCCTCTTGTTAACAATATGAGCCCAAACGGTGTGAGCTTGGGTGGAAAGGCAGGGCATAGGCGCGCCGTCGCCACCCTAAAGTGAGGGTCCGGCTGAACTTGGCTGAACTTGGCGTGCTGAGGGCGCTGTGGAGGTGGCTTTAGAGCGTAATTGGGAAGAGGCAGATGACAGCGCTGATGTGTTGCGGTAGCGTGTAACCTTAGCGTGTGACTTGAGGCGGCAGTGGGCAAGCAACACATGGCGGCGGCGGTGGTAGCGGCGGCGGCGGGCGGCGGCGAGGTTGTGTGGAGCCCCCTCGGCTTGGCCCGCCAAAAAATCTGGTGGTGTGTTTTGGCCTGTAGGGTGATGTGAGATTAAGAGTGGCCTTGTCCGTCAGATGGATTAAGCTCGGATTTTCTGGGGCCTTGCGGCATTGGACTTAAGGAAGAGAGTGGAGCCATCAAGTGGAGCAAACACACACAAGAAACTCTCGGAGCAAACACACACACACACACCTGTTCGCATGCGCCTTTTGCGGTGAGGCCATAGCCCCCATAACAACCAGCAGGATCGCACTTACGACGGGTGCCGGCAAGGCATGGAGCCATGGAGACTCCGCAGGCACAAATGATCAGGAGGAGTCGCTTGCACATGCCTGACATTGGACCACCGCCTGAGCTCCCGCCTGACATCGGACCACCGCGATGAATTTGGCCTGGAGGCGCCAAATTCTGGCAGAGAAGGGGACGGCGAGGGGTGATCGGGTAGAGCTCGAGCCTGATCAGGTACTATTAGTGCACACTATTAGTGCACATCCTCCTACAGTCAAAAACGGCGATTACCTGAGTTTTGACGAGTCCTTGGGGTCGGGCATATGCCGGGTATGTCCATCGGCCGGAGCATCAGGAACACGTGTTACGAGCGCTCTGCTTTTGTCTGCAACCTTCGGCAAAGGCGGATCCAAAGCGCTCAGACGATCCCAGGACCTGCTTGGGTAAGCATGGTTCTGCAGCGCAGTGAGAAAAACAGTGGGAAAGCAACGACGGTTGTGAGCCGATCGCCAGGCCGAGTGATTTGCAGCTTAATTGCCAGGGTGTCGTTTTGAGGGATGGTCTGTTCGCAAGCCGGTGGCGAGCCGTCCCCAGTTCCACTTTGTATTTTGCCGGCACCTGATTTGCCGGTTGCGGGTGCAGCTTGTAATAGTACCGCACCAACTTGCGACCGTAGCTTGTGTCACAATCATTGATACACGGGAACAGGCTTTTCAGCCAGCCACCGCCCTTCCTCACCATCCCACAGCTGCTGGGTCCACCACCCATCAGGAAAGACACAACCAGCTGTTCTCCTCTCCTCGCGTCTCTTCAGCGGGTCTGGCTGGCGGTTTAGGTGGTGAGGAGGTGCGGCGATCATGCTGCAACCAACTTTCGCCTCCGCCGGCAGGACCGTGCTGGCGGGCTCCTAGTAGCCCGCAGCGATGCTGGGAGCCGTGGGGGAAGCGGGGAGCGAAGTTGCAAAAACAACCGTTGCAGAACGGGTGCAGCCTGCGCCCACCACAATTTACGCACACTTACGCACACTTAAGCACATGCACTGAGCCAGGCTGCGGAAGGAAGCCGGCGGCACGAACGGCACGCAGGCGGCGCTGCGCGAACGGCGTCGGGCGAGCGGCGCCGAAGCACACAGCTCATGCATTGACAACAGTCTGTATTACCAGTTACTGGCTATAAACAGACTATAATGTAATGTAACATGGCGACAATGCTCACGCAGCCTGACATAGCGAGGTGATTGTAAATTGGGAATTGGGTAACACTCACTTCGGTAGCCACGTAGTTGCCATGCACATCCAGCGTTGCAACTGTGCCCAACACGAGCTTCAACCACGACCGCACGGCCGCAACAAGACCGCCAAGGACCTGGCCAACCAGCTGGCCCGTCTGGACTTGGCGGGCTCGTCGGGCTGCCCCAAACACGACGCCAAGCCGAAGAAGTTGACCTTGCGGAACCTGCCGGCCGATGTGTTGCGCTACCATCCCCAGCCATCGGGGCTTCATTGCGGTATACCCCACACCTTTAGGCATGTGCCACTCGTGGTGAGCCACCATAACACAAGCCAGGATCGCACTTGCCGGGTCCAGCTTTGTCGCAAGAATTAACAGTTTGCCGCACACTGCACCGGAACAGGGTAGACAATTGAGGGCAACAAAGGCAGGAGGATGTTGCAAAGGGAATTGCAAGCCCCCAAACGTTTGACACATCGAGAGTGAACCGGTGAGCACACACAACACCCTTTAGGCCGCGGCTAAGAAAGGCCTTCTTTGAAGGCGCTGGAGCTAGTGTCTAAACCCTCCGAGAGGGCACAGGTTCGATTCCTCCCATGTCGAAACTTTGTGAGGACAAACGCGGCATAGCTGACCGGCTCAGCGCCAATCCAAGCCAATTCCTTCGGGAACGCCTAATAGAATCGCCAAGGCTTCGGCACAGGCCTCCCCGGGACCCATTCACTACTAGTGGGGGGTACTGCACTTGGCGCGTCGGGCAGATCAAATAATGGTCTAAAGCTAGACGTTAAAACCGGGAAGTGAAGCTTGTGGAGGCTCTTCCCCACCTTTACCTTTACCTTTACACCCACAAATCTACCCCACACCTTTGCGCATGTGCGTTTTGAGGTGAGCTCATAGCCACCATAACAACCACCAGGATCGCACTTGCTAGCTCCAGCATCGCGGCAACCATGACAGCTTGCCGCACACTGCACCGAAAACGGGGTAGGCAATCGAGTGCAACAAAGGCAGGAGGATGTTGCAAAGTGAATGGTAAGCACACAACAGTTTGACACATCGAGAGTGAACCGTTGAGCACACACAACACCCACAAATCTACCCCACACCTTTGCGCATGTGCCACTCGAGGTGAGCCCATAGCCACCAGAACAAGCATTAGGATCGCACTTGCCGGGTCCAGCTGTTGAGCAATACCAACAGTTTGCCGCACACTGCACCGAAACAGGGTAGGCAATTGAGTGCAACAACGGCA